GTGGGGGAGAACCACGTATGCTAATCTACATTCAAAAAGTGTTCAATGAAGCTCAGAAAACCTCAGAAAGTTTCAAGTAGGTAGGTAAAGTCTTCAAAGAAATATTGGACCTCTAAAAACTAGTCCTCGCAAAGATTCGCAAATATTTTTCTCTCGTCTCTTGCAGTTGTTGATCACAGTTGTAGTCGCTTACATGAGAGGATGAAATGCAATCTATTACGCTGTCACAAGGGAATAATTGGACAATAATCATGATGGACGTAGCTCATACAAATAATGTTTGAAAGAATTATTGTTATGTTTAGTCCTGCTCTATTACGACAAGATTCTTCGCAGTTCCGATTCTTTAATCATCAACTTATCTATTATGATAATTGAAACTGCTCATTCTCTTTCTTGTCCGGTTTTTTTTTTGAAAGATTCTCAGATTATTTTTATATGCAATGAGTTAACACATTCTGTGACTAGTACAGTCTTATATATTGATTAACTCTTACCGGAGTCCATTTTAAAAAGAGCTTAGGTGCATTTTATAACTCAAGGCTTAGATGTTTTTCGATCTGAACTCTTATAAAGCAAAATTAAACATAACATTTTTCTAAAATAGATTTGCGACTTCCTCCATATACTTGATTATCATTTAGGAATAAAGTGCATGCTGATAGTTTTTGATACATCGGAAGTGTTTGACTTTTGAAGAAAAGCAACGGGGTTCTTAAAACGATGCAAATCTAACGTCCCTTACGTTTAGGTTTCTTTCATCCCTAACTCTAATTCGAAATTATGGATTCACAGTGCACTTGAGTTAACATTTCCGCCATCTCTTTACATTACGGCTATAATGTGAACTTATATCATGTGATACAAAAAAGACATACTAAGACATCGTTCATTAACTACATATTTACTGTGTATACCCGTAACGACAATGCGTCGTTTCAGCCAAGCTACAATTCTTTCGAAGAATGAAATGCTCTACAATCAGGTCAAGCGCCACTCTTTCCAAAGTGCGTAGGGATGAAGGGTTGGAAAGTTGGTAGGGGAAGAAGAATGTTGGTAAACGAAAATTGTCCCTTTAACTGTGGAGAACCCAGCTGCAGAAAAAAGTAAAAATGCTTATAACAGCAGACCTAAGCCTCAAAAATGTTGTGGACGAAAACCGCTAAGTGTACTGAATCGACATTGTGCTAATGTAATAATATAATATGATAAACAGGAATAAGAATAAATGGAGTAAAAACAAACGGGCGATACTTTTCAAAGTAAAACTGTTCTCCACGCGCGTGGA